AAAATTCTACAATTTTCTACGAAAAATTGAAACTCATTTTTTTCCCGGCGTCATAAATTGTAGAAGGATATAATAAACAAAAATTTTCAACAAGAAATAACAACTTAACAACAACAATTGAAAAACGTAATTTGTTGTAGTTCCTCATGGAATACTACAATATTCAATGATATTGCACAATATTCAACGTCTCTTATAAAAATGTAAAAAATCGTCAACGTAATCCAAATCCGTAGTTCATTGTAGTTTCTCATAAAATACTACAACTTTCCATGAAATTCTACTAAATACATATTACGTTCATTATGGGACTTGATAAAATTTTCATTCAACGTCTCTCATAAAAATGTAAAAAAGAAATAATACTATGAGCTTGTTAGCAAGTATATACAACACGCGGTGGCGTCTCTGCTATTTTATGTCACAAATAATAGCGCTAAATTTAAACCAAAGTTTGATTCTCACACTATTCTACTACTGCAGAAAATTGTAGTGACTAGGCGGAGAATAGATTAAATTTAGTTGTAAAAGATTGTGGAAAATTGTAAACTTTTGGGACTTAAAAAGTTGTAGTTTCTCGTAATATGGCATAATTTTAAGGTTTATAGGGAGCTACAAAATGCAACTTTCTAAGAAATGTAACAATAGCGTCCCAATCCAAGTTGTAGAGAAACATTAAATGTTATTAAATGTTTTAGCAATTTGTCGTAGTAAGTTGTAGTTTTCTTGTAAATTATGTAGTTTTTTTCAGGGTGGCAGTCAAATAATTACACTATATGTTTTTTGTAACGTTTCGGTTTATTTAACCATCTTTAGACTGAAAAAAGGTTGTTCTTTACTCATAGTTCTACTAGTTAGGTGTTATACATTTGTTTGTTTTCTTGTGAAATGTTGTAGATATAATTCCACCAGGGTATACTCACAATTTGCCATAAATAGGAGGTAACTATAAATGTTTAAGACTTCCCCACCAGTTTACGGCCACCAAAATTTACTTTCAAAAAAAGATAGCCGTAAATCAGTTTTATTCTAACCCAGTTGCGGTTACTCCAATAACTAGTTCAAATTTAAATTGTGTACAGTGTAAGATAATAATACCATAAAGTAATAGAAGCTTAAAAATTAAAATTTTGTATCTAATAATAATAACAAATATTTCTTTTAATACCATATTTCCTTATTCATACGTTCCCCTCAAAATAATGGGCGATAATTGGTTTGGTCATGAATTGGACAAAATGACTGCAAATAGGCGAAACCGGTAATTTTGTTAATTGTCTTTTTTACAAATTCCTTGGAAAAGACCATTATTTTTATATACTGCTTAAAACTACAATAATAGATGATGTAGAAGGTTCTTTTTATTTTGAATTTTAAAGTTTGCTCAAAACGACCATAAAGGGGTCACTTTAACCTACTGTATATTTCAATTTATCTCCGAACAATTTACGTATCATATGCCGAACGACCACATAAAACTATCTTTTCTATCCCCCGAGAAAAAGTATTTCTTTTCTGTATCTCTAAGAATGTGTATAGAAATTTTTGTAATGATTGGTTGAGTAGTTAAGGGATGAAATGGTAATAAACAAACACATTCGTATTTATAATATTAGTTAGGATACGTAAAAGTAGAAAGGTGTTTACTTTATGGGTCAGTATTTAAATATTATGTAGTCAGTATCTAGATGCACATAGTCAGTGTCCCTTGGTGGTGAATGTAGAAATATGAAGGGTCTAACTAAGTAAGTAACAAACGTAAGTAATTAATGTACTCACTATTTAATTTATACACCAAACCTCAAAAAAATATTTTACTATATAATTCTACAACATTAGAGTCTAGAGACCGTTTTGTATATAATACTACTGTAGATAAACTAAATGGTAAGCAGCATAAATTTGACTACAAAATTGTAGGAGAAATATAAACAGTCTTGCACTGTAAATAAAATGTAAGATGTTAGAGGAATTTGTAGTACATATTTCAAACGTCTTCATTTCCCCTAGAAATTGTTTCTGTCTCAATAAGTACTTATATTAGTTCCTAATGAAAGTTTCTGAAATTGTAGAAATTTACTATAATAGTGTATCGATCACTTTAGTAATAAAATATTATCCAAATCTACACGTAGATTTATACAGGTAAGGCAAAATGTTCAGCAAACATAGTAATTATACATTTTTGTGTCGACATTTTTTCTTGGTATGTCATAATTTGGTGAACGTACGGAATATGTTTTTCCAACTACGTCTATAAGAAAATATCGTCTGCTTCTCTGAAAACTGTCCTAAAGTACCCCCAAAATCTTTAGAACAAAATATGTAGCACACCCCAAAAGTTTTAAATTGCCTTTATTGAAGTTATCTTACTTTATTTTGTTATTTATAAGGTTAGAAGCGTTTGAAATGTAGTGTTACAGACGAATGATGAGGATACCGTGGATAGAGAAGTTTAGAAATGAAGAGGTATTGGAAAGAATAGGAGAACAAAAATAAAAAATATCGATATAGGTTGATAGGGCCCCTTCTCAGGCATAAAGAGCCAATTAAGGACATATTAGAAGCATATACAGGATCTAAGAGGAGTAGAGGTAGATTAGATTATTGTTAACAAATAGTCAAGAATGTTCTAGTTTTAGGGAAATACGAAGATTAACTTAGGATAGGAAAAAATAGAGGTGCTTGTCAAACGATCTTATGATGATGATGATGAGAAGAAGTTTGTACGCATTTTCTTATGCCATGTTTTGTTTTAATAATGATATTGCCCTTTGATGATTACATGTATAACTAATGGACAATATTGTATGTCGCTATTCGGTTCTCAACTCGCTACTTTTAGTATTAGTGTATCTATACTAGTGGTCCAAAATGGATTTGAATACCGACTATTTAATTTGATACATATCATTTACATCTCTAATTTTGTTACATTCTTAATGCAACTTAATAAAAACATAGAAAATGTAGCTATTTTAGGTACGTATCTGCCTACACAAATATCTGACAACTATAAATCGCTTAAACAAATGCAGTTTAGTTTTTGGGACGTTTGTTTAAAACATTATTTTGATAATATCGATGTAATACATTTATATATACTTCTACGAAAAGTATTCGTTTAAAATTCACCTCATTATTTTATTCACTCAGCTGAAGAAAAGCTCTTGTATTGGTCCACAAATGCACATTTGTACATTTCGCTTCCTTAAGAGAATCTTCCAAATTATTTAACTAACTAAACGTTAATATTTATGAACCAATCCAAGTGTTTCCATCTTAAGCTAATCAATAAATATATGGTTCACCAAGAAGCATCATCATTTTTCATGATTACTTGTAGGTTCTCTTTGTAAATTACCCTTTAGTCGTTTTTATTACAGTAAATAACACAGAGAGTAAAACCAACTCTGCTTTATTGCTTTTTATTTAACTTATCTGCAAACATCACCATCAAATAGCTAGTAGAATGCAAAAGCAGTAGCACACGTTAGCTACGTTATATTACACTAACAAAAACTAAGTAGGTACTTATTTATTTTCTAACTAACCTATAATTACAAACTTAAGAATTACACACTTTAATTTATTTTATTTCATTTACCCATTAAGTATCTACTCGAGTAAGAAACACCTACCCACAGATGTGCAATTATCAAGTGCAAAGCTTACGTCTCTCATTGCGCTGCTAAATTGCGGGTTATGAAATTTATACCTACTAAGTGGGACAATAAAACAGAACGTTTAGTAGTAAAATGTACCGATGTACTTGAAGAAGATTTTACCTTATTATTAAAAACATAACTACAACTTCAACGTTTGACCCCTTTACTAAGTAATTCCTAATACAAAGATTAAGAAATTTCTTATTTTACAAATATATATTTACCTCCTATTTACAGAGTAATGAAGAATAATTGTTAAATATTAGATTTCTGTTTATTCAGTATAGCAAACCAGAACAAATAAATTGACAATATTAATACGACAGAGAATCTGTAGGGAATGAAGAATCGNCATAAAATGAATAGCTCTGTAGTAATTCAAAGAATTATTTAGGTGCCCAACCTAATCTACCTTCAAAACCTTTCTAGCTCGGTAGACATCAGTACTGTGGTTAAGAAAATTATCCGAAATCGAAACTTATTATTATCGATTAAACATCGATTATATTCGTGGAGATGAATTTTCCAACGTAACTCGAGGAAGCCGCGAACACTGCTACTAAAGGATAAAAACCAGTAGCTTTGTTTGCTTCCAAATAAAAGTTTACGATCTTCCTTGTCCAGAGAATTTATTACCTTCGATCCTTCGGGTGATTACAATTTCCTCATATAGGTACAGTGGAATTCGTTTATTACACCCGAGCGGCATGACCTAGAGGTCTAGACCATTGCTTGGCATTCATTTTACAAATATATATTTACCTCCTATTTACAGAGTAATGAAGAATAATTGTTAAATATTAGATTTCTGTTTATTCAGTATAGCAAACCAGAACAAATAAATTGACAATATTAATACGACAGAGAATCTGTAGGGAATGAAGAATCGAACACAGGAATATTCTGGTACATGCAGTCATCAAAGAGCGGTGTCACTTTTGGAAATAGGTTTGAAACTCATACAAGTACCTTCAACCATCTTTTCATATTATAAATAGTAAATACGTATCTTTAAGTCTGATAAATGCAACTTAAATCCTTTAGGAGGTGTTATGCTTTATTCAAAACATTTGGGTAGTTTGGTTAGTTTAGGACAGTTTTCAAAAAAGCAGTTGATATTTTCTGATAGACGTTCCACACTTTCATCAAATTCTGCATTTTTGCTAGTGAAAAATAAAAAGAAAAAATGCCGACAAAAAAGGGTGAGATTGTATGTTCGGTGCAAGTACATATATTTTCCCTAACCCTCCACAAGGAGTGCGTAGCAGGCGCGTTAAAAAGGAACCTGCGGGATAGACAGAGAAAAAAATAGAATAGACGGGATTTGCTAACCTGCATCTGTAACCAAGCGTCGATGAATGGCTGCGAATAGTTGTTAGGGGATAAAGTCCAATAGTCTCCGGGATGGGCTGGAACAATCTGGTCGTCAGAGCAACGAGGCGGTGCCGTAGGGGCCAGGCAGCAAGTTCCCGAATCCATAGCCCCCTCAGGGCACCGATAAGCACATGAGATCGTACGTCAGTTTAAGTCCCGATAAAAACAAAACACAAAACGAACTTTTCAAAAACTTCGATACAAATACTTTCAACAACCCACTCACAAAGTGTTTTTATAAGTATTATTTTTGACTTAAACACCAATGTTTTTTAAGTAAATTAAGTAACCACTTCTGTCTTGTACCAGAAGAACGTTACCAAATAATGGTTATCAAAATTGATTCCAAACTAGCATCTAAATAACTTATGTTCGACTATTTATAGTAATAGACAGAGGTACAAAGCGTTTTCCAAAAATACGTTTTGTTGAAGAGATCACTTTCAATGAAGCGTTCGAATAATAAGTCCGAAAAGAATGATATAATTGTTACTAAAATGGACGGATTGTTATCGAATTCTTCGTAATTGTCAGGTCATCGGTCTTCCATCGAAAACTGTTATGATGCACTGTGAAACGCACTTAATTCCAGTTTGGCCGAATTGATGAGCGCAATTACTGGTTGGTCTTTATCTTCCTCGTCTCCCCTTTCCGTCTGATTTTTCTCTCAAGGCACACAATTCCACAACGCGGCTGATTGATGAATCGTTCTTTAAATGGTTCTTCGAATGCAGCTGTCAGCGACTCAGCTCGCTCATGATATAATGGATGGATGGATGAATGAATAGTTTGAAGAACCAGAAGACGAAAGTGAAGAGAATGGAGAAACTGTTGGTCTGCAAATTTTGGGGTCTCGAGTATAACTAGCAGCGAGGTCCTGAAATTGCCAATTTGGACCGATGACGACCACTTGATCCTATTTGCATACAAATGATCCACTCGCATTCAGTGCGCGTAAAATCGAGACGCCGTCGCGCATTCGATATTTTTACCAAGCACACGGTTCAGGTACAAATTTCCTCATTTCCATCAACTTGCCAACGATTTAATGGTCATAAAGAAGTCAAACGAGACCCAAAAGGACATTTGTACGAGAAAGGAAAAAAACCGTCAGTCACGAAACGCGGGAGATTGTAGCAAACTGAGACCAAGCACCACCATATGGTGGGAGTTGTTCCGATGCTCACTTGTTGCGTAGTAACCAAGACAACGGTCGTACGGCGACTGCGATGAACGGACCGGCTAAGAACAACCAGGAGATATGCCCGTCGCCGATTAGCCTCGTAGTCGCGGCAATCCATGAATCGGAGAGCGCAAGCGTATATACGCCCACGACACGCGACCGCAACGAAAACTAATGAAATTATGTCTCGGACGGACGGACGGATGACGGGATACTCTTCTGCTATTGATTTTTTTTACGAGGAAGCGCCTTTATTCCATCACATGGCCTTTCAGTTTGCCTCATACCCATACGTTTCTTATTATTTACGTTTCACTGCTTAAAACTAGTCTGTCTCAATTTTAAATAGGTATGACAAACAGACTTGTGGGTTAATTTACCGAAACTATTAAATAAGACGATTTTGGACATAAAATGAATAGCTCTGTAGTAATTCAAAGAATTATTTAGGTGCCCAACCTAATCTACCTTCAAAACCTTTCTAGCTCGGTAGACATCAGTACTGTGGTTAAGAAAATTATCCGAAATCGAAACTTATTATTATCGATTAAACATCGATTATATTCGTGGAGATGAATTTTCCAACGTAACTCGAGGAAGCCGCGAACACTGCTACTAAAGGATAAAAACCAGTAGCTTTGTTTGCTTCCAAATAAAAGTTTACGATCTTCCTTGTCCAGAGAATTTATTACCTTCGATCCTTCGGGTGATTACAATTTCCTCATATAGGTACAGTGGAATTCGTTTATTACACCCGAGCGGCATGACCTAGAGGTCTAGACCATTGCTTGGCATTCGGGAGGACGCCGGTTCGATTCCGGGTCCGTCTGCCTTGGTCCAAGTTTTCCTGTGGTTTCCTTGGATCACTTAGGCAAATGCTGAGGCAGTAACATTCCACAGACAATCTTTCACTCTCTTCTGTCTTCATTTCGTCCGTCTCATCTTTCTCACCCGAACCACCATCCACCCATTCCCACGATTCCTGAAAGCAGGCTGAAGAGTGCCTTCCGCCCTACCTTCCGGCATAGTCCGGAGGGACTGCCCGCCCACTAGCATTACTGACGGGTGGGAATGAAACACCCAAAAGTTTTTTTTTTTTCGTTTATTATGACTCTGCTTATATTGACCATGAAGTAATTGCAGTTTGGTTTTCATATTCAATTCTCTATAGGAAAGTTTGGATATAATGACCCCGTTTAAAATGACATATTGTTTATTATGACTGATTCTCAAAAAATCATATCTGGCTATAGTGACCCAAATGATTAAGAAAAAAAAAAATACAACATGTAATTACACAACACGCTACTGAAGTGAAACTTCTTCAAACACACAAAAATACCGGGAGTGTAGGCACACATACAAATACATCCATACATTTTGTTAGGGCTACACTATACATGCCGGAGTTGCCTGTAACGAACGTTGCATTGAAGTGCGCTCACGGCTCAAGCGATCCCCACTACGAACTCGACTACGTGGCCGAGTAGGGGGGGAGAACATCCGTTGCATGATTTCGTTACATAGCAACTCGCATGAAACGAACTTGCCCTACCGTGCGTAAAGAAGTTTCACTTCAATAACAGTTTCGCTCATTTTTTTAACCGATATTACAATTCATCGTTCTTTTTCTTTTTCTGTTAATAAATATATACAATTTGTAGTTTTCTCTAACTAAATAACTAACCAAAATGGAAAGTTGTTT